AAAACTAAAATTAACTAATACTCTCTCTCTCTCTCTCTCTCTCTCTTCCGATCTCCCTCTCTTGCAAGAGAAAGATGAATAAGATGAATGTTTCTAGAAATTATTATTATACTGATATAAATGATAGAATAATTTTAATTTTATCGAGAATCAACTCTTTTATGAGATAAAAAAAAAGATAAGTGATAAGATTGAAGAGAAGTATAATCTTGCATTGATATGATTGAATTGAGAGATATTTGAGGTATATCAACAAGAAATAATCTTTGAATTCTTCTTTTATCTTCTCAAATACAAAAATAAAAACATAAATTTTTGAGAAAAAAAATTTCATATTTTAAAAGATTATTAAAGTAATTGAAAAAGATAAGATAAAATGAAGAGAGTAGGAAAAAATGGGAAACGAAATGTGAAAATAGTAAGAAAATAAAATTCTCAAATTGTTATTGTAATTGTAATTTTATAGCATATTTTTCTCATTCACTATTATATTCATTCATTGCTCATTCGTTTGTTTTTAAACTTTTAAAAAAGAGAAAAAAGAAAAAAAGAAATTTCAAATTTGAAAATTTAACGAGTAATTAACAAATATAATAATAGCAATAATAAGAATTTTTTATTAAACTTATAAAATAGATGAGAGTGATAAGAATGATAAGGTTAGAATGATAAGGAAAAAGATACCAATGGGACAAACACATATCGAAAGTGATCCTTTCCGAAGACATTCGCCACCATTTAAGCAATCACAACGTTCCTCACATCGATCACCCAAATATCCACCCGTACATCTGTAACAAACAAACGAATTTATGACGCTTAACATCTTATCATTAATATTTATCATCAAGTAACATTGCGTCTTTTTTTTTGAACTGATACTATATCAGTAATAGTAGTAGCAATAAATTATTACAAACGGATCACTAAATTTGATTGATTGGAATCTTAAAAATGATAATATATTTTCACTGTTATCATTAGAAATATCTTATCAATTTCTTTTTTGCAACTGATAATTACAGGATGGTTTAATCATTGTTTAATAAATCCAATGATCTATCTTAATTTTAAACAATATTGAAAAGTATAAACATTGTATCATTAGCATATGTTATCTCGAACTATCGATTTTTTTTTATGCATAATTTTAGAAAATTTAAGAAATTTTAGGAAGAATATTAAATTTGTGGAATTTAATCTTTCTTCCTAGATATATATATATTTAAAACTAACTTGGTTCAAATTAATTATCTCATTTTATGGATAATAAATATCCCAAAAATAAATAAGAGAATTTTTTGAATCAAATTTATTTCTCCTTTTTTTACCTGATATATGAGTAATAGTTTAAAATATAGACCATCTTTTTTATCATCCCTTCTTTTAAAGGATGTAATTTAGATGTAAGAAAATAAACATAAAGAAATAAGCATGAGAAGATAGTTAACCATAAACGATAATCCTCATAAATTTTAGCAAATATTTGAAACGCGGGGGAAAAAATGATGTTCGATCTGGTGGGAATTAATGATTGAATTTTATCAAGGATAGAAATCTTCCACCAGATGACCGACGACATAATATGATGACACGATTGTATACCAATTGTGTAATACCATCATTATGCAATCACATGAGGGCATGCATATAAAGCATAAACAATATGATAGATACCCATTTCATTACCCGTACTTATGAGATAAGCAAATAATACTTGGATAGGTAATTCTATTCAAGAATAATTATCCTCCAAAAAAAAAAAAAAAAAAAATGCAAATAATGCAAAAGTATAGTACATAATTTATTAGCTAAAGGTTAGAATAAGAAAAAGAAAGGTGTGATTTGAATTCGGGTAATGTAAACAACCGTAATACCCATATAATATACTTTATAAGATGACCCGTTTATGATGATCGTATGATCTAAATAGAAATGATTTGTATGAATAAATTATTACCCAAATATTTGTTTGAGTTAATAAACACGTAAACACGTATTAAATAAACGTAAAATACGTGAAAAATATTTTGAAATTGATGAATATATCGGAAAATTTTATTGATTACTTGTTACTTTTGGCATATTTCCCAACAAAATACAAAAATCTTTTTCGCTATTTTCTGGTTTTCCCGATCCATCGCAAGAATAATATGTCACATCTATACGTACTTGAATACACCCATACCCGTACACACCCACACAGAACACACACAGAGAGACACACACACACAGACAAGTTCTGGAACAATAAATCCTGATGAAGAGCACTCCGTGTAAGCTGTCACTCTTGCTGATTAATGTGATTAGCAATTTGAGGAAGAAATATTTCTTTTGATTTGAAAATTCCGATATTTGCAAAAGTTGACAATCCGACGGTTCTTAATGGCTAAATTAAATTAATAAAGGATTAAAGTTTAAAATTAACAAAAAAAGAATTTATCAAGTCATCAATACTTCTTAAATATTGACAACTGATTTAATTTTTAATCTATGAAGAAATGGGGTAAGTTATAAGTTAACATTTAAATGTTAAATTTACATTAAGTGAGAAGGTTAGCTGAAATAAAAGTTTAACAGTAGGCAATTTGAAGGATTGAGTAAATTTTTTTTCCAGTAAAACTAGTACTTTTTCGTTTTTTTTTTAAATGAAAAAATAAAGTTAATTTTGTTTTCTTGAAAGAAAATTTTTTTAAATTCAAAATTTAATAAAAATTTAAAATTTTTTCATTTCTTATGTTATTAATGCAAAAAATGCTTATAGATAGCATTAAATTTTATTCAATCTTTTTTTCTTTTCTTATAACACAGCAATAAATGAGCGCTAAAAATTACAAATTGATTGAAATTTTAAATTTTAAAAATTTTTTAAATCTCAAATACTATGACAGTATTTGACAATCATGTTTGTTATCCATTTGATTTTGTTACATTTTCATTAATATTTCAATAAAATTGATTATTTACTCTTTACAGATATTTTTGAAAAAAGATAGGAATGAAGGATGAAATAATAAGAGAACAAAAAGGAGAAAAAAAAAGAGAAAGATTGTTTGATTCGGTAAGAAGGTATTGATAAAAGTAGAAAAAAATCGGATTATATTAAGTGACAGTAAATTATGTGACCATCATAATCATCAACAAAACAAAAAGGTCAAAGTATAGTAGCTTAGTATATTACATTAGTATTATATTTAACATTGACATGTATAGGCAACTTAATGAACCGTAAAATGGATGTCATGTATCCGGAAATAAAAGTTACTTTAATTTAATCAACAGTGGTTATTTATCATATCATTTGGTCAAATTTTTTTAATTTAAATTTAATAAGAAATAATAAGTAGTGAAATGAAATGAAATGAAATGAATTAAATACAATATTTCAGAATAAAAAATTGTAATGCTTTATATGGAATGATATCAATTGATCAAATCATATTTGAAATTTATCTAATTTTATTTTTATGCAAATTAAACAACGAATATCATTCGTATAATGGAATAAATTCAAAAGAAAAAATAAAATAAAAAGTGTTTTTTTACAAAATCCACCAAACAAGGTAAACATCATTAATTATGCGTGTAATTAATTCTTCGCCTATATTGAATTTTTATAGGAACAATTTTGATGTGAAAATACATCATTTCAATGAATAGTTTGGTAATATTCGGAGAAATAAGTTTTTAGCCAAAACAAAAAAAAAATTTTTAAAAACTATACCCTACAATTGGCCAAAATTAATTACTACCCATTAAAAACATTTAATTGATAAGATAAATGATTGTAAACTATAAGGTAATGATAAATTTATCATTATAAAATTCGAACTTTTAGCAACTAGGAGTAATAATGGAATAATCAGTGATTATCATCTCACACCATGAATTAATAATAACATTTAGATAAATGATAAGATAAATGATTGAAAACTTAACTGATAAAGATTCATTATCATCAAACTTTAACAATAATATTAAGTATAAGTAACTGTAGAATTAACATGTCATTTCCATTTATGATAAGTATATGAATATATGCTAATTAATAGTTTCATAATTAATGACCTTCACGGAGAAGGTAACATGAATTGAATCACAACAGTAGGTCATACATAAAAAAAAAAAGCCAGGGGGGAAGAGGAAACTTCACCGAGATTACAATCATTATAATAGGCCATTATTGCGGTCAGTATCTTATGGGAGAAGGTAAAAGCGGGGGAGAAAAAGATAGGGGGAAGGAGAGGAGGAGAACCCCCTATTGGTTGCATGCAATGAATTGCCTAAAATGTTATCACATATAAACAGACAAGTTTTATGTTGAGTGACAAGGACGCCTCTTAACTTCTCACCACTAAATTACCTCATCTTGGGAAAATATCAACCCGTTTCCTTCCCTTTCTCTTCATCCTAATTCATAGCATTTACTCGAAATTGTTCATTTATTTACAATTTATTGTTTGAAAGATTTCAAAAAAAAAAAAATGTCACAATAAATTTTTCAAAAATTTTGACAAAATTATACAAAAATTTGGCTAAATGTAGGAAATATTTCTGATGGAAAAGGAAAAAAAAACTTTTTCATACTGTAATATTTAAAAGATTGTCAAACTTACATGCATTTATGAACATTTGATGAAATTTGCATACAATATCCGCCATTACGACAAGATGCTGCATTACATCGACCTGAAAATGAAGAAATAAATTTATTGTAAATTAATAATTTCTTTGATGTAATTGTAAAAATCAAAAGATAAAAAAGGAGCTATTATGTTTGATCCCAATATCTGTTTCAAAATTTTCAAATAAATTTAATTTTCGAATTTCCAAATATCAATTTCCTACTCATCTCTCTATTATTATTATTATTGTTATTATTATTATTACTATTATTATTATTATTATTATCATTATTATTATTATTATTATTATTATTATTATTATTATTAAAATAATAGTATTATTATTTTTATTACTATCATTAATTATTAATCGTTAGTTAAGAACTATTATTGGTTATTAGCTATTAGTTATTAGCTATTAATCATTAATTATTAATCATTGAATATTAGTTATTAATTACTACTATTATTTTCATTATTGTTACTACCATTAACACTAATTAGCATACTTGTTATGCCAATGAGAAATAATTACAAGCATTCTTCGGGATAAATTTCATAAATAAAAAATCAAGATTAAAATCATGATAATTAAATTAAAACCATGGAAATTATAACCAATCATTGACTATTTCATTCATTTGCAATTATAATAATATAAAACGATTTCAATTGATCTAAATCAATGGATATTTTTGAAGGTAGCAAACTTTCATGAATATTTTATTAACGTCTAAGTAGGAAATGATGTTTAGATAGTTGAAAAAAAAAAAAAAGGATAATTAGCATCATAAATGATATGGATGATTTACAGATGATAGATGAAAAATGATGATAAAGAGATTTGGAATGTGAATGGGAAAGTGTTTGTTTTCTCTTAGCAATTATCATTTAATCACTTAACAAATTATATTTCACAATCATGTAAAGAGTAAAATTAATTTTAATTCCATTTTCCTTTATTTTACCTTTACTAATTGATGCAAATTTTTTTACTTTTTTCTTTTGTAATTTATTTATTTACATAAAAATATCTCATTTGTTCATAAATTTTACTAGAAGTGTAATCTTTACTAATTAAAGATTGTTTTAGCTAATTTCTGACTAATACGTGTAGAAATCACATCTGACCAGTACGTGTAGAAATCACGTATGAAAGCGTACAAGTTATTCATTACGTGAAATCGTTACGTATGAAATATTTAGAACGATTGAATGTATAAAATGTGAAGAAAAAAAGAAAAAGGTTTCGAGATAATTACCAAAGAAATAAGCAGACCTGTTGTAGTTATTTGTCAAATATATAAAGTGAAAAAAAAAAAAGTAGGACAAGAAAAAGTATTTCATGGATAGATGACCGATAAATAAATCCGTAAAGCTAACCGGTTAAGATAGCAGCATTGATTCCAATTCGGAAATTTATAATGATAGTACTAGCTATTACAATAAGCAACAATCGCATTGTAAAAGGCGTATTGAGCGTTCTTCCGAATTTTCTTGTCTTTTTTGTTTTTTTTTTTAACAATAGTCAGAAATGAATTTTAATGTATGATGATGAATCAATTCAGTGTTATTGTAGCAGTAACAGTAATTGTTGTTGTTATTGCTATTGTTATTGTTGTCGTTAATTGAGCATTCATGGAATAACCGTTCTCCTGTAGAAATTAACAATACTGATTAAATCGAAACGTCATTTGCCAAAACAATAACACATATTGTACAAATTACTATCGCAAGATAAAAATTATCTATTAAATTAATTTTGGATCCTGAATTTCTCAGTATTCCGGATCCTGAAATAAATAATATTGTGAAATAGAGTAGCGATTTGTGCAAAATGGGCAATTTTCGCACACAAGTAAATAAATATAAAAATTAGTAATTTCAGCATAATTAGATGTTAATAGCATTACCGGAATGATATATGTATGCATGAGAATAAAACCGGAATGATATATGTATATATGAGAATAAAACCGGAATGATAGCAACTTAGGAAAAAGTGATAGATAAAATATATAAGAGGGAAAAAAAAGATATGCATATCATCAGCATCCATTTAAGGATAGGTAAGATGAATTGTATTCTAATAAGTCTGTCTAAGAGGGTGTGTGTCTGTCTGTCTGTGTGTCTGTGTATGTCAAATAATGCAAGTAAACTGCATTTTTGCAAGAGAAATGCACCCAAGCAACATGCAGCAGCAAAAAGAACATCAAATAGTAACGACAGAACAGCATCACGGATAGATAGATGGATGGATGGATGGATAGATAGATGGGAGATGACAACGAGCGGGCGGTGAGGGGTTGGTCGTTCGATCATGTTGAAGACCGCCCGACATTTGAAAGACGAATAAATCATCGGTTCAGTGTAGGTGACTTTTACGTATTTTGTTAGTTGTACTTG